CTGTTGTTGCATCCATCATCATGGAGTCTTCACCTGTAAGAGGACCATTAGAAGATAAGAAAGACGGGCACCATACCTTAGCCTGACGCGGCGTAACCGGATCACTGCTGAGACTCAAATCTAAGCAAATGTTCGATGGGTTAGCCATTGTCAATGGGTTAAAAGAGAAAGGTGGATGGAGTAAAATCAAAAAGGGCCGAAGATGATTTTCACAAACGGGCGATCTTCAAAGTGTGCATGTTGGAGGTGATCGATACCTTTATAAAAAGCCAAGGCAACACGACCACCGATTCAAAAAAAATCGGATTTTCCTGCGTGAAGTTCGGCGACGCTTTCGCGGCTTTTCAGATAACGCGTTCAACTTTGTCAAAAGATATCTGACAAAGTTGAAAACACGTGAAGGTTATCATCCCAACTACGCGCCTTTGCCAACAAGCGTGGTGACAGAGCCGCACCCGTGACTACTTTTTCGAAGAGGCGCTCGCTCAGAAATCAAAGAAACGCTTGTTCAAAAATCGAAGAGACGTTTGTCGACAAGGGTAAAAGAACAGTACCACCACTGGCTATTGGGAAATCCCTATATATGTCGACCTTCATCTTTTATGGCAAGGCAGACCTGAAGAAAATGCCCAACTCTTCCTCACCTCTGAGGGCGCACTCCCAGCAAAGCCTTTCGAAATACTCAATTTTTTCTTCTTCCCCAAAGATGATACCAGATGCCTGGAGTACAGATGACCCAGGAGGAAACGATAGATTGAAGCATGTGCTGATTCATTCACCGCTTCTTCAAAAGCAAAGGTATCTCATATCATCAAGGTCAAAAGCAAAAGTATCTCATATCATGCTCTTTCCCTGTCTTTTTCTTTGTCCTTGTTCTTACTCGCATGGCAAAGTGAAAGAAGCAATCAGCCGGCACTTGGAGTCAGTCTTCCGATCTGGAACCGACTGCCTGGAATCTATTCCCTGGTTGCTTACCTAGCGTTGCTCTCGAGTAGTCATCTTCAACGGTTGATACACTTCCAGAGAAGGAACCACTTCTGCAAAGGGGAGCAAGTAAGGCAAGTGAAAATGATACATTGAAGCATGTGGAGACAAGCAACAACTGCATATGCTGAGCTATCCTCTAACCCTCTTCAATACGAATTGGAGAGATTGAACAAAGAAACAGATAAAAGGAGTAACCTCAGACCTTCGATGGAGACCAAAAGAATCCTGCTGCCCAGTTCAAGAGTAGCACAAAGGAAAATCAACGATTGGAGGAAACTAGAAAATCTTCCAGTCGAACTCAAGATCAAGCCTCGATGGCCCTTGAAGAAATCTCCAGCCCAGTTCAAGATTAAGCCTGTGGAAAATCAACGATTGGAGGAAACCAGAAAATCTTCCAGTCGAACTCAAGATCAAGCCTCGATGGCCCTTGAAGAAATTTCCAGCCCAATTCAAGATCAAGCCCCGACGGCCCTTGGGTTGACATCCACATTAAGGGACTTCAAAACGCATCTTCTACACGTGACAAGCACATGTCTACGACGCGCCTTGAAGTGGGGGCATTTGTAGACATCGAAATTTCGGTGAAATGAATGTTGACCAATAATTAAAATTTCAACGCTCACGTGTCACATAAATTTTACATGTAGCGTGTGACTCAACGAAAAATCGAAATAAATTGGAAAAGTCATCAAATAGGACACGTGTCAATACCTGGCAGAAATGATTTATTTCATCTGATTATTTAAATCCAAAAATCAAGTTTTGGAATTCTATAAATAGGCAGCTAAGGCATTCATTTTGGGAAAAAGAAGAAGAAAGAAAGAAGGGAATTTACATCACACCAAAACCTTGAAGCCTTGAAACTCTAAAGCTCTCAAGCAAATCCCGAAGGATCAAGAAAACACTCTTCGTTCTTCGTCAAATCCTCCTTCAAGGTCAAGCCCCAACGGCCCTTGAAGAACTTCCACCAACTCAAGATCAAGCCCCGACGGCCCCTTGAAGAAAGTGTTCATCATCCGTTCATCCTAAGATCAAGCCCCAACGGCCCTTTGGATCAACAACCTCAACAAACTCATACACCCATTCTTCAAGATCAAGCCCAACGCCTCTTGAAGATCCGTTCATCAACTGTTCATCCTTAGATCAAGCCCCGACGACCCTTTGGATCAACAGCTCATCCACAAACCTACACCCTACGAAGATAGAATCAGAGGATCAAATTACAAAGAGATTGTAACCCCAAAATCATTAATACAAAATATATTTTGTACACGGTATTCTTGTTTCTTGTTGCAGGAATTTTTCGTGTTTACACCATGCTTCTAGTATTTTTGTCTATAAGCTATTTTGAAAATTTTTACGTCTCCATTGTCTGTTAGAATGCTCTATTATTTTTCTATTATTTTACAAGTCGTTTAGAATTTTAAAGAACCATACAATTCACTTCGGTCAAGGTTGTTTCGGTCTTTAACTGTCTACAGTTAGTACTTTCTTCTGCCAAAAGACAAAACAAAAAAAACTGAACCATCTCTTTTCATGGTTGTAAAACTTAAAGGTGGTGGAACCACAGTACCATTTCAAAACCGCCCTAAAAAAGGGAACTACATCGGCACTAACCTCATTGCATCATGCTGTGATTGGCCTCTTGGTTGAAGGGAAACTCTTGTGCTTCGGCAAGGGTGCCTCAACATGAACCCCTCAGTGGGTTCTTGACGGTATGACGTTGACCGATACTTGGTAATTTTGAGATTGATCAAATATGGTACAAACAAACCTCATTGCACCTCCATTCTTATTACAAAAAGTTATATCCTAGAAAACATGTATTCCATTCTTATTAGAAAGGCCATATGATAATTAGTAGTTAGGGTGGTTTATCTGAATATATGATATTGTGCCATTGGCGAAGAAAACGATGGAGGGGAACAATTGGTCAATTTCACTTTTTAATTAGCAAGGGAAAAAGTTTATGAAGACTTATTACATTTAAGATGGGTAAATTTGGAAAACAAAATTTAATTAATTTTAGGGATTGAATGCTTAGTTTAAGAATTTAGGTGCAAGGAAATTGACACCTGACGGAAAAGTGAGAAGGTGGCAAGCATTTCCCCTATAATTTTTAAAATTTCTGACATCTGAAGCGTAGAATAATCATGCCGCACAGCTTGTGTTGTTCTACATCATTGACATTTATTACCCGCCATCTCCTTACTCTTCACTTTTTGCTTTTAATATTTATTTTCTCATATACAAGATACATATTAGGTAACCATTTTTATTTTTTATTTTTATTTTCCTAAATATGCTCATGATTGACCTGTAGAAAAAACATCTTTTTATTATATATTTTAATGTTATATTATTCTTTTATTTTTAAGTCTTTATATTTAAGGAAAACTAATGAAAATGGCTTGAAAATTTTTAGTTTTAATAATAATAAAAAAACCATGTTATAAGTTTTGTTTAATGATTAGTACAAGGCCCATATTAAAGTAGTCCAACTAAAAATGGCCCAACTATAATAAATTATGATTTGTTGATTTTACCCATAATTTTTTTAGGTTGAGTACCAAATTTTTGTCGTTAATGGAGTTCATTGTTGTTTTGCTGACCTTCTTCTTTTTCTTTGAAACAAAAATATAGATCCTCATGCTATTTAATTTATATTTTGTATTATTTCGTTGAAATGTGATCGTCATTATTATTCATAATGTATTCGAGGTACTGTTTTTCAAATTTTCATCGTCAGTGGAGTTCATCGTTTGTTTCTCCAGAAAATAAATTTGAGATCTACATGCTATTCAATAATAACGACGAGTCACTGTTTCTAGACTGTAAAAATAAACTGTTTTTGGAATCTAAGTCACTATTTTTGGATCCAAATGAAATAGACACATTGTTTTTTAAATGTAAGTTAGAAAAGAAATAGTGAAATTCACTGTATTTGGATTCAAAACAAAATAAGCATCTTGTTTCTTAAATATAATCAACTGATGCATAGACTGTTTCTGGAACTAAGTCACTGTTTTTGGAATTTAAGTCACTGTTTTTGAAATTTAAATCATTGTTACTGGAATTTAAGTCACCGTTTCTGGATTTTGGTTCTTTTCCTTCCAGATATAGTGTTTGTTTGTGCACAGACAAAACAAACACTGTATTTGATTTTTTTTTCCAGAAACAGTGTTATGTTTTAGGTTATCCAGAAACAGTTTTACGTTTTGGTTCTTTTTTTTTTTTTTTTTTTTCCAGACACTTTTTCACTGGTTTCTGCCATTAAACTTCTTTGAACTTGTTTCGGCGGCTTTGTTCTGATGAATGCTTCCTTTTTCAACTTTGATTTGAACTTTGATTTGGTTGTTTTTGAAATGGGGGAATTCGATTTGATAGGAAGACATGGAGTTATTATGGCAGTTTCGTGCTGGGTTGAGGTTGGTGAAGAGTCAAGATAATATCAAATCATTTAGGGGTATTTACGGAAGTGTAGATTTGTAGTGGGTTGAGCTTGTAAGTTTGACCCATGGACAATAGTTTTGGATGGTTTTTTATTAAACTTTGAGCTCTTTTGGTTAAATAACATTTTGGGATGGTTTTTAGTTAAATATTTGTTAGCCCAAGCCCTTTTCATTAAAACTCCCTTATATTTATCCTTATTTCTTTTTTTCTCTTTATATATATATATATATAGGCATTTAATTAAGTAAATGCTTGAATATTGATTAATTTGCTTTCTTGATTAAACTTGGTCATGTGAGTTATACTTGTTTATAATTTGTACACTTCTGAATGATAATGAATATCTGTTTTACAAAGTATTATAATATATACATATTTATAATATATAGAATAAAAATTAAGTGAGCTATCCATCAAACGCCTCACTCACGCCTTCGTCTTTTAAAACATTGTGTTTGATTTATGTACTACAGTTTAAAACTCTTATCAAGGTTGGATGTGCCATATTTCTTTGCTTATGAGTGAGCCTTGCTGCAGACAAGAGGTCGTGCTATTGGACAATGAGGTTGCTTTCAATGAGGCTATCATCGAGGAAAGAGAACAGGGAATACAAGATCCAGCAGCAAATTGGTGAAGTGAATGAGATTTTTAAAGATCTTGCTATACTGGTTCGTGAGCAAGGAACCATGATTGGTACCACTTACCTTCTCCTTCGTCTCTTGAAGGCACTTATACTTATCTGGCTTGTGTTTTCTTATCGGTTATTATCTGCTTTGTAGATGACATTGGCTCCAATGTTGAGAGTGCTCACGCTGCTACTGGGCAGGCAAAGTCCCATCTAATGAAGGCGTCAAAGACCCAAAGATCGAATTTATCTCTGGTAATTTGTTCACTTTTTTTTTATATGACAGTCTACATCTAAGTGTAATTTTATATATATTTTTCAAAATGTTCGCTTCAGAAACTCTTTGGTAATTTATGTGTTGTGCTAGGATAGCACCAAACCACGCGGAACCAAATCAAGCTAACCCACAGAAATTTATCAAATGAAATGCAAGAACAATATAGAAAATAACACCAAGATTTTAACGAGGTTCCTCCACAGTCAGTGTAACTGGAGTACGTCCTTGGAGCAGTAGGAGCTCCCCCAATAATCCACTATCAACCAAATGGGAGTTTACAAAGTGTTGACAATCTCACAACCCAAAAGCCCAATACACCCAATAGCTCTCACACACCAAAGAAACAAATAGAGAAAGAAATATAATGAATAATTTCTTCTCTATACATATAGCTCAAAGCTATTACAACAACAACAACTTTGGTAGATGATTACTAACCAAATGAAGCAGTAGCTTCTCTTCTGTTTTAGGCTCTCTATAACTCTCCCTTGCTCTCTGCAACTCTCCCTTGCTCCCAAAACTGAAATGAGCTCCCTCACTTTTCTCTACTCTCGGTGCTCTCACAAAAGGAATGCTGAAAAACAAATGGTGCCCTTCCTTCTTTTTCTCTTCACTCGGTTGCACCCTTCATTCCCTTTTAAAAAACAACCAAATACAAATAAAATAATAAGGCTACTTGCTAGCCTTTTCCTTTTCTCCTCAAAACAAGGAAAGCAATAATGATTTTGTCCACCTTATTATTTTATTAGCCGAAAGCGGATGTGAGTTGGCCACTTGGCCACATATTCCAACAATCTTCACCTTGGCCAAGTTCCAAAAACGCCATCACAAGCCAAAATGCTCCAAAAAAAAAAAACTCCTACTGCTCAACGCCTTCTTTATATAGGCAAAATGTGAGCCAAGTTCAAGCAATGAACAAACTTGGCTACACCAACAACCTTAGTCAACATATCAGCGGGGTTGTCTTTAGTTGGAATCTTTTGGAGAATGATTTCCCCTTCACGAACAAAGTGATAACGCACATCTATGTGCTTGGTCTTCGCATGATGAACCTGATACTTAGCCAAATAAATGGCACTCTGACTATCACAATGTACCTCCACCTGCTTCTGATCAACCCCCAAATCTCTAATCAGTCCATGTATCCAAATGGCCTCCTTTATAGCTTCAGCAACTGCCATATATTCAACCTCTGTAGTAGACAAGGCAACAGATGATTGCAAAATGGACCTCCAACAAACTGGCCCTTTAGCCATAGTAAACACATAGCCTGTAGTAGACTTCCTTCCATCCAGATCACCTACATAATCTGAATCAACATAACCAACAGCAAAATGACCAATACCAGAGTCATCCCTCTCAAAACATAAACCAACATCTCGAGTACCATGGAGATACCTCAATATCCACTTAGCTGCATTCCAATGCTCTTTACCAGGATTATGCATATATCGACTCACCATGCCAACTGCATGAGCAATATCCGGTCTAGAGCATACCATTGCATACATCAAACTACCAACCAAATTTGCATATGGTATATTTTTCATTTGTAGCTTCTCTTGATCAGTTTTAGGACATTGTAGAGAACTCAATTTAAAATGAGGAGCCAAAGGGGTACTAACTGGTTTGGTTGAGTCATAAACTCCAAACTTCTGAATCAACTTCTCAAGGTAGTGTCTTTGATTCAAGCATACCAAACCTTTCTCTCTGTCTTTAGTGATCTCCATGCCAAGGATCTTCTTTGCTTCACCAAGATCCTTCATCTCGAACTCATTTTTCATTTGCTTCTTCAATTTCTCAATCTCTTCAACATTCTTTGAGGCAATCAACATATCATCAACATATATCAACAAATAAATGAAAGACCCATCTTGCAACTTCTTGAAGTACACACAATGATCATATTGACTTCTAGAATAATTTTGGCCTCTCATAAATTTATCAAACCTCAAATACCATTGTCTTGGAGATTGCTTCAAGCCATAAAGTGATTTCTTCAACTTGCAAAACAAATTCTCTTTCCCTTTCACTTTATACCCATCCGGTTGACACATATAGATCTCTTCATTCAAATCACCATGTAGGAAAGCCGTCTTCACATCGAGTTGCACAAGCTCAAGATCATATTGTGCAACAAGAGCTAACATAATGCGAATTGAGGAGTGCTTCACAACTGGAGAAAAAATTTCATTGTATTTAATGCCTTCCTTTTGTGCATACCCTTTAGCAACTAACCTTGCTTTGAATCTTACATTGCTTTTCTCATCAGCATTTTCTTTCTTGGCATACACCCATTTACAACCAATAGCTTTCTTACCCTTAGGCAATTTAGCTAACTCCCAAGTCTTGTTCTTCAAGAGAGAATTCATCTCATCACCCATGGCATTGCACCACTTCTCCTTTTCCTCACTCTCAATGGCTTCCTCAAAATTGGATGGAATCTCATCAGTGATAATAGGAAGAGCAAAAGCAACATAGTCACTATACCGAGCTGGCTTGGTAATTTGTCTTTTTCCTCTGTTCTTGGCAATAGACTCTTGAGGTGAAACTTGCTCTTCAACTTGAATAGAATCTTCAAGTTCAACTTCTTCAACATCCTCATGGTCTCCCACTTCTTCACTTGTAGTGGCTTCGACATCAGCGGAAATAGGATTTGAAGTATTAGAGGCAACTTTCTCAAGCTCCACCTGTTGGACATCTTTCACATTCTTTTCAGAGTCTCTGAACATATTTTCTTCATCAAATGTCACATCTCTGCTGATTACAAGTTTCTTCATCTCCGGGCACCATAACCTGTAACCTTTGACACCACTACTAAAACCAAGAAAGATAGCCTTTTTGGCTCTAGGATCAAGTTTATTTTCAGTTACATGAAAATAAGCAGGTGAACCAAAAATACGAATATAATCATAATCATTAGAAGGTTTTCCAGTCCATACCTCCATTGGCGTCTTACCCTGAACAGCAGCTGAGGGTAATCGGTTGATGATGTGACATGCATAAGTAACTGCCTCTGCCCAAAACGACTTGCTCAAACCCGACTGAGACAACATGCATCTAACCTTCTCAAGCAGGGTTCGATTCAATCTTTCTGCAACTCCATTTTGTTGTGGAGTTCCCCGGACACTAAAATGTCTCACAATCCCTTCCTCTTTGCAAACTTTAAAGAAAGGGTCGGATGTGTATTCACCACCATTATCCGATCTCAAAATCTTAATCTTTCTCCCAGTCTGGTTCTCAACCATTTTCTTCCAACCCAAGAAAATGCTCAACACCTCACTCTTGTGCTTCATAGTGTAAACCCAAGACCTTCTTGAATAATCATCAACAAAGGTCACGAACCAATGTCTACCACTCAAAGAGGGAGTCTTTGTAGGACCCCAAACATCCGAATGCACATAATCAAGAATGCCCTTCGTCTGATGTACAGCAGTACCAAACTTCACTCTAGTTTGCTTCCCCAAGACACAATGCTCACAGAAATCAAGCTTACAAGTCGTGGCACCTTTTAGAGGGCCTTGTTTCACAAGCCCTTGTAGAGCTTTCTCACCGGCATGGCCTAATCTCATATGCCACAATCTAGTAGTATCAGAATCGGATGTGCCCATATTTTCTGAGACTACAGATGCTTCACCTGTCACAGTGCTTCCTTGCAATAAATACAAATGGCCACATCAAGGAGCTTTCATCACAACAAGTGCACCATAAGTCACCTTCAATGTCTGCCCATCTGAATGAAACCTGAAGCCCTTGGCTTCCAAAGTTCCCAAAGAAATAAGATTTTTCTTCAAATTCGGTACATACCGAACACCTGTCAACTCTTTAACCATGCCATCATGCAACTTCAAACGAACTGTACCAATCCCTTTTGTTGTGCAAGGATTGTCATCTCCCATGAACACAACACCGCCATCAAACTCTTTCAAGCTTGAAAACCAATCCTTGTGAGGAGTCATATGATGAGTACAACCCGTATCCAACACCCACTTAGTAGCACAATCAAATGATGAGGAAGTGGTTAAAACAAAATCAAGAAAATCTGTTTCAACTTCAGCAACATTAGCTTCAGAACTTTCTTTACCTTTGGTCTTCAATTTAGGACAATGTTTCTTCCAATGGCCCTTATTACGACAAAAGGCACATTCATCCCTTTCCAAAGGTTTTCTACCTTTAGAGGTTCCTCTAGGTCGAGACTGTGATTTTTTCCTACTAGAAGATGATCTTCTCTCCGATGATCTACCTCTAACAAATAAAGCTTCCAAGGTACTATCATGATTTTTATCTCTATGCCTCATTTCATAATTCATCAAGGCATTTGACACATCTTCAAATTTCACAGTTTCTTTACCATGCATAATAGTGGTAACAAAATTCTCATAAGAGTCCGACAAGGAATTCAACAATATTAAGGCCTTATCTTCATCCTTAATATCCTCATCTAAATTTAACAAGTCGGCAATCAACTTATTAAAAGCATCAAGGTGTCTAATCATTTTTGTACCTTCTTTGTATTGGAAGCGGTAGAGCTTTTTCTTCAAGTGTAGCCGGTTCTCTGCACTCTTCGTCATATACTTGTCTTCCAATTTTTGCCACAACACACTTGCCAATGTCTCCCGCATCACAAAATACTTCTGAGTTTTTGCAAGGCACAACCGAATTGAAGAGCAAGCCCACAAATTTAATTTCTCCCATTCCGGCTTCGACATAGCTTCCGGCTTCTCTCCCAAAGCGGCAAGTAGATCTTGTTGAGCCAACACATCTTTGACCTCACATTGCCACATCCCAAAGTTGTTTGTGCCATCAAACTTTTCAACTTTGAACTTTGCATTTTGCACCGTAGTTCTTGCAAATCCGGAGCTGCTTCCAAAAGGATTCTCATCTTGCCCGTCTGACATTTTTGGCAATTAGACAGTACCCAAGAGCAACCAGTGCTCTGATACCAATTGTTGTGCTAGGATAGCACCAAACCATGCGGAACCAAATCAAGATAACCCACAGAAATTTATCAAATGAAATGCAAGAACAATATAGAAAATAACACCAAGATTTTAACGAGGTTCCTCCACAATCAGTGTAACTGGAGTACGTCCTCGGAGCAGTAGGAGCTCACCCAATAATCCACTATCAACCAAATGGGAGTTTACAAAGTGTTGACAATCTCACAACCCAAAAGCCCAATACACCCAATAGCTCACACACACCAAAGAAACAAATAGAGAAAGAAATATAATGAATAATTTCTTCTCTATACATATAGCTCAAAGCTATTACAACAACAACTACTTTGGTAGATGATTACTAACCAAATGAAGCAGCAGCTTCTCTTCTGTTTTAGGCTCTCTGTAACTCTCCCTTGCTCTCTGCAACTCTCCCTTGCTCCCAAAACTGAAATGAGCTCCCTCACTTTTCTCTACTCTCGGTGCTCTCACAAAAGGAATGCTGAAAAACAAATGGTGACCTTCCTTCTTTTTCTCTTCACTCGGCTGCACCCTTCATTCCCTTTTAAAAAACAACCAAATACAAATAAAATAATAAGGCTACTTGCTAGCCTTTTCCTTTTCTCCTCAAAACAAGGAAAGCAACAATGATTTTGTCCACCTTATTATTTTATTAGCCGAAAGCGGATGTGAGTTGGCCACTTGGCCACATATTCCAACATTATGTTGCTGCGTTGTTTTATGAATGATTCTTAAGTTCATTCTGGCATGAACATGGGGTCCAAATTCACAGGTTAAACTGATGGTCTATGACAGTTTTCACAGCCACAACATTCTTCATTAGGCTTCGACATGAATTTTCAGATCCCGTAAACACATGAAATAATGCATTTAATCCCACTTAAGAATTATTGCCGATCTCTTTTCAGTTCCTTTTACAAATATATTATGTAATCACTAATCACTTTACAGTTAATTTTTTTATTTTTTGCAGACTTGCTTGCTCTTGGTAATATTTGGAATTGAGCTTTTCATTGTGAAAGTAGTACCTGCAGCTTAACCAGAAGATTGTGCTGAGGTATCCCTCTGCTATTTCTGTGATGCCTAACTTGAGTATGTCGTTGTATTCTATATGTCGTTGTGTTCTAAGTTCGTGTGTGTGTGTGTGTGTGTGTGTGTGTGTGTATAGTGGTGGACCGTGGGTATCCTTCACAATTTCTGGTTGCGGTTGGGTGAGGTGTCTCTTCTGTTTCAGTAAGTTGGTGTTTGGGGCTTCTGATGGTGTTCTCTGTGTGTGTGTGTGTGTTGTATTTTTTTCTTCTTTTCCTTTTTTATTTTAAATGTTACGGTGTTTTTTTTTATTTATATATATAAGAAGTTATAATTGTTTGGGTTTTCATTTATTAACGTTAATTTGTAAATTATTCATTTCGAATTCGATTTGGAGCTGGAAAAGGTATTCATACTTGATATTTTGGACCAATTTGCTAGTCCAGAAATACCGAGAGGAGAATACTATTACTAGCAAATATCCTTTGATGCCATGACCAAGATACTTTTCTCGATGTTTATCAACCTTAATAACATCATCCCAACTGAATTAATTCTGTGGATCAAAGAAGAAGCAGAAAGTTGGTTAAATAAAAAGGAATTACAAAGCTTTCCAAGATAAGAATGCATCTACGATGTACAAGCATTATGTCCATTGGCCAGGTCCGTCCATTTACACAAGTATGAGATGGAAATCAGATAAGGGCACCTTACTACGGTTAGATTACACTGTATAGAATTTCATACATTATTGCCATTTTTGGATCTTCCTATTATTCAGGGTACCAATAATAGTAATTATTATCTGTAACTAGTAGGTTCATTTTCCTACAACTATCAGGGTTTCTCTGTAGGTATTAATGGCTTCTTGTGCTTCAACTACCTATTGCAATAAGCCTTATTCTAAAACTACTGAAATTATATGACTCTTGAACACTAAAATGCTACTGCCGCTCAGGGATCGAGTATGTATCCGTCTACGACCATATGACCCAGTGTATGCATATCAAGGTATTTTTTGATATACTCTCAGCTTCACTAGCGAAATCAGTGTCTGATAACTTCACTAGCGAAATCAGTGTCTGACAACTTCACTAGTCAAGGCTAGTGTCGATGTGATATGTACTATGTTTTCTTATAGGCGCAACCTAATGTCGTATAGCTTCACCTTCAGGTGATGAGGCCCACCATATTTCTTCACTGGTGTAACACAATGTTTTACGGATTTGCCTTTGGGTGACTATGATACCACTATTTAAGTACATTATTATATGATTTACAAATATTTTTTTTGGCATGCTAGGATTTTCAAAAAAACATTCTACGTACTACTATATGAGTTTTCTAAAACATGCGGTTAGTATGTTCAAAGAAAAGTGGTTTTACTTATTACTATTGTAAATTCTGGTCTGCTCACCTGACCTAGTTTAATCCATGAACTCAACCTGGTTATCTTATCCCTTCCTACTCTTAATAATTGTCTAAACCATAATTGTCTTTGTTTTGTGCCCCCTTCAGGACTTAGAAAAAAGGCGTACAACCCTTGCGTTGTAATCTTGATTGATTGTATGATGTGAACATATTCATGCATTCTGATATTTTAATATTTAAAGTTATGTATTTTATTTATGTTTATTTTATTTGGCGTAAATTTTGTATACTTGTTTACATGTTCTTAATATAAGCATGATAGGATGACTTTCATCGCCCTCAAGTGTTGGCCAGCACATAGCCATCTCAGTGTCCTCTGGATACCGAGATCAGGGAATGTCACCATTTGTTAAGTCAAGCAAATTATAAAGAATTTAGTCTACTATATAATTACAACCATAGTCATGGATAAATTTTTCCTTATAACAGGAACATGGGTGATACACCACGTGTTTTTATACAAGTGGTGGGAAATTGTATTTTTTAAATTATTAACTTTTAACACACATGTAACACCATCTATATAGTGACACGTGGTATACCATCTCGTGTTTCGGTCACACTAAAAAATCTCTCATAGTCATGGAAGGAAAGAAGGAGGAGTCTCTCCCCTCCTCATCTCTCTCTCCTCCTATTTGAACGGTTACGGTTAAGTCACGTTAACATTTTATATTAATTTTTTTATAGAGACAATAAGAGAAAAAGTAATATGCAAGAGGATGAGAAGGGAATGAGAATATGAGATGAGAGAATCCTACTCCCGAAGGAAATGACCAACAGCGCAACGTGCGTCCATTGTCTAATAAAAGAGTGCCAATTCCAATGAAGTATATGGTTTCGCTGCAAAGATGGTTGCAGCCTCTGCCCCAATCTTAGCCTTGATGGCTTCCTTTGTCTTATTCAAATTCTGCATTTAATCATCAAACGACATTCTCTGAATTTTTTTAATTAAAATAATAATGTCATATCCACTTCATCATTGCTATAATAGAAGAAGACATTATTGTGAATACATATTGAAGAAAAAAAAAATAAAGATACAATAAGTTAGAGGGGATATGAAGCTAAACCCTAACAGGAAGTAAAAACTTATTAGAGACAAAAATCAATTAAGAGAACTTTTAAGAAAAATGAAAATTTGAAAACTAGAAAGATTATGAACAAAAGTTACAATTGCACATTGCGGACAAGAATCCCACCAATGAACCCAAACATTACCAACATCATAGTTTGCCAAACAATCTACCACCTGATTTTCTTCGCGATAAATGTGAAAAAACCGAACATGCATGCATATGAAAGAGAGGATGGTACAACAATTTACCCAATCAACCGATAAACGCCAAGGCACCTAAGAAGATCCATTAGAAAGAAAATGCACTACTAAACAAGAATCACACTCAATCCAAAGAGAATGCTAACCCTCTCCAAAGTGATATAAATAACATGAATAATAGCTTTAAGTTTGCCTGTTGGAGTTTTTGGTGGAAATTTCCTTCCATCTCATTTGTCCCACATTGGTCAAGTTGGGAAGTTTCACACATTTTATAACATCTTGTCCATCATACAAAGTGATTGAAAAGATGGATCATTGAAAGAAAAAATGGGCTTGAACTTTGGGTTTGGGTGTGTGATAATTAAATATATAAATAATGTATAATTAAAATATATTTAATTGTCAAAAAATGGGGGCTCGGGCTCTAATATTAAATCCAATAATTAATTATTATTTTTAATTAATTTTGAATTTAATTAATTTTTTTTTTTAACAGACTCATCATTTCGGATGAAGTCTGAGACAATGAAGGAACGCCAAAAAGGAGATCAGAATGCCAAAGAGGAGATCCTTGTTGGTTCCTCTTTGGAGGATCATGAGGATCCTCAAATCACATTCGTTCATCGTACATCGTACATCGTATATCGTACAGTCAGAAATTATTGTAACTTTTATATTTAAAATTAAATATAAACAGTACCTGACAAAAATTGGCGATGTACGATGAACATATGTGATTGGAGGATCCTCGGGATCCTCACAAAGACGATCCGGCGAGGATCCTCTCTCGCCAAAGAGCAACAAACCTATATGAGCAAATGTTTTCCAAGAGATGCATCCCATATTCATATATGTTGCGAACAGAAATTTGTGCATTGTATACACATCCATCTGCATAACATTTAGAACACAGAAAAAACGAATTCTACTTCTAAAATCCCAAAACCTACTTACTAAGAGAACCGCAAAGATATTCGTTAGAAGCCAAGTTTTTTGGTGCTGGAATTCTGGTTTGATCATTGAATCCTAATGACGTAGAAGTCCATCAAACTACAAGCACTGAGCAGGGAAGAAATTCTGTTTCAAGGACATTGCGATACTCAAGCCTAGATCACTGTTTTTTTTTTCTTTCAATTTTATATTAATTTCATCTTGTTCACTCTGCCAAATTATTGATTTGCATTTATTATTTATTAGCATATTCGAATTTATTTATATATATAAAATTTTCATTGATTGTTGATAACATCTGATACTGCTCTAAGGCAATAGCAATACCAAAAGATCCTGCAAACCATCCAAGACAATGACATTCTCTGAATCTGTCACGAAGGAAAATAATAAAATAATGTAAGATTAGAAAGCATTTACTCTTGCACTTGATGTTGTAGGTTCAATGATGTGATCATAAACATAAGAGGATTAATATTTTTGGAAGACTATAGTAATATGTTGTTCTATACAAAATAGTATCGTAATTGATCGTTGATTCCCTACACAGAAGCTCAAACGTTGTTCAAAATCATCCCTAATGTGCGGTGACTTATTAATTTTGCATTTTCAAATTATATGTCAAATTGTCACACATAAATGAAATGGAAACCACTAAAGGAGAAACTGCTCCAATATATAGTAAAAAACTACGTGAATTTGAAGAAGTTTTCTTACATAAAATGGACAATATTGCAAGTGACGGATTGCATGGTGGTTAGGGCCTTCATCTTTCAACCAACCAACCAACCAACCAACTATATCCAGTTAAAAACAATACTCATCAAAGGAACCATCAAATTCTTGCACAGCAAAACAAAATTCACATAGCATATATAGAATGTCTAGAGGGCTACTTTCGGCCCTTCTTGGTCTTGCCTCTCTTGTTCTTGTTCTTTATCTTCCCCTTGTTTCCAGTACATTGGGAACCAGCAGCATCAACCAACAGATTTGACTCATTTCATATGTGATTCTCCTCGCCTATAATGTGACTGTCCATGCAATGGTAAGTTAGGATTTTCAAATAATGGGGTCATGATATCGACCAAAAAAGCTTCATTAGACCATTTCTTTGAGCACCTAGTAGAAAGATGTCAATTCTTACCAACATTTGTTGAAGGCTTATGCCAACATATGTCAACTACTATGATATGCAGAGGCTTGTCAAGAGTGGCTATAGGAAACTGTAAAGTAATGTTGAAGACTACTAAGGCTTGTCAACTAAGGCATCGAGCATTTAGTGCGCACAATAGAGTCACACAAAAAAAAAAACAAAAAAAAATGTAAAGGAAGGTTGTAATTAAGCATGATTT